AAAATAGTTGCTGAACTCTGCTTCAAAATGTCTTGAAGAATGGTATTCGATAGATGAAAATGAATGAGATAAACTACCTTCTTATCCTTCCGTAATTTCTCCTCCGCGGTCAAAGTTATAGACATCTTGTCAATTCTTAGCAACGCATCATCCAAATCCTACTGTACAATACTGCATGCATCTTAACCCGCCATAGCGTAAATCTAGTATTCCAATTCAAAAGTAGAATATCATATTTCATGGAAGCCATCATGAACAAAAATCTTGAACAAATCAAACTCTGCGCTCTTGCGAAACTGCTGAATCTAGGCTTTGATACCACTTGTTATGTTAATTATGCCTAGAATCTCTTATACCAATTGTTCGGAATTCAAGGATCACGTAGTGCTCGATACCACTTGATATGAAACCAACCACCGGATTAAAATATTGAAGTTATAATGCACAATAATGAAATATATGATCACAACCAAAAGAATATAAGGAAATATGACCGAGGAATTAGGAGATTTTATTGCACCACAAATAAAGAAGATGGAGAAATATTACAATAATTTTAAAAACTAATAATCACTTTTCTCACACTATTCTCACACTATTCTCACTTCAAAATTGTAGAAAAGAGCCAAGTATATATAGGCAACTATGTAGGGCGGTGTCCAAACCCTAATAGATTAGTTATAATTGAAATAGAATGCCAAAAAAGTGTTAAAATGAAAAAAAGGGCATGGGCTGGATAACTCTATCGCTCAAGCGATAAGCTAGGGACAGGCCCATCACTCAAGCGTCAAGTGGGTGACACGTTAGAGACCAAGACTTGGGAGAAAACCTGCAAGTATTGCTCGAGCGGCCAGCTAGCGAAAATGTGGCGACTTTTCTTCCCAGTCCATAATTTCAACCTATTCAAGTCCAATACAAATTCTAACTCCCAATAAAGCTTCCAAATAGAATTTCAACTTAAATAAGACTCCAATAGGATTCTAAACTGAATTCCTCTTGATGTACATTTCAATTAGAATTGTTCAATTTCAACAAGGAATTCGGGTCACACCCCAATTCTAACATCCATAATCCATACTTTAAAATTTGAATACGAGACCTTTTTATGCACTTCTATTTTTAGGAAATAAATTCTTCATATCAAAAGTTAACGAGAAGCTTCAATAGAATATACGTGTTTCTTCTCTTGGCCTAAATTCTGAAGTTTGAAATTTAGCAGGTATTATACTTATTTATTTTATTAGGATATTACCTTATGATCAAATTTAGATTTACTTCTATAATGGAATACATTGAAATTTGAAAAAAGAGACTGCATCTACTTTGTAATCTATACACCTTCTAGCATGGCTATATATGTAGAACACATTTCGGTACATAATTCTCTATGTATGTTGCAATGTGTAGGTATATAGGCATAGGGAATGGGTTGTGCATGTGTGTGTGTGTGTAAATATATGTTTCTATGTTCTCGCATGTATTTGTATATACATGCTTTCCTTACACGCAAACCAAAATTTTTTCTTATTTTTTAACTACACATTCTCTATCAAAATACTATTCCAAAATGTATTGTTTTCAAAAAATGGGGTTCAATCATGCTCTGTATATGTATATTTGTGTGCAAATATGTACCCGTGTATGTGTGTGTGTATCTGTACACACACACATACGACCATATCCATGTTTGTACTTATATATGTGTAATTTTCTTTAATTGGATAGTAAAATGGATTATTAATTCAGTTAGTACCTATTTCGATTAATAATGTCTTTTTGAAGAAGATTTCACTTTTAATTTTTAAGAACCTTATCACTATTACTAGTTGTAAGCCGTACAATGTACGGGCTTTGATATTTTTAAGGTAATGTTAGTGTATCAAATATTAAGGGAAAGCTAAATTATTGTGAAAGTTTAGTAAGATTCAAATGAAAAGTTTTTTGTAACCGAAATTTTTCCCAAGAAAGAAATTAATGGGGACTATATTAATCTTTCTAAACTTGCTAACATTTGACAATTCATATATATGCTCTGTATCAAAATATTTATAGTACCCACTGAACAAGGAATAAAATTTTTTGAACACTAATCAAGTAAACAGTGGATTGCCCAACAAGTAACAAGAGATTCAAAGTCGATGGGGCAGCGCCCCTCGTGGGGGTTCGGGGGCAAATACCCCTGGCAGGAACGACCTGCCCGATCAGGTCGCGGGGTCGAGGGGCAGTGCCCTTCGTGGGGGTTCGGGGGCAATAACCTCGAAAGAATTATGATTTGTAAACGATTGTGAGTTTTTGTAATTTTTTTTAATGTTTTTGAATTAAATTATTAATAAGTGAAATTGTATTTACTTTGTGTGAAATGTAAGCAAATGTTATCACCTAAATTTAAAAATAAGTGTTTGTAAATTTGGTTAATGTTATTTTTAAATGTATTGTACAATTTTGAAATATACAAGATAGAATTGATTTTTTTTTTTTTGCTATGTGTTTATCGTATATTGTTGTTTGTACTGTAATAAAAAAAAGTTCCGCATGCTCCACACAAATGCGGAGCATTCATTCTGCAACGTGCATAGTAGTAACTCTGGATTTTTATTTTTTATTTTTTATTTTTTTTTGCTGCAATGAAAAAATAATAATTCTTAAATCTAATTCATATCCTTTTCATAGGCAAGCTCATTGCCATAAAAAACAACTTCATACATTTACCATTTACCGACCAATCACTATCATACGAAACTTAGTTCCAATAAGTAATGTCGGAAAATAGCAATTGTAACATCCATCGGAACCTGTATTCAGAACATCCATTAAAATAGTATGTTAAGTTATGGAACGGTTAAGGCTCAAAGCAACTAACACAAATTGAAGAAGGTTATTAGTACATATAACTCTGTTCATAACTGAAAATAAGATTTTTATGGAAAATATTAACCTATTTAACCTATCTGCATATGTGAAAAACTAATAGAAATACATGAAACTGGCAAGCAAGTTCGATGGTTTAAACGAAATTTCTTTTCAATGTCTTCTGAGAATATAGAATACACATACCTCAGGATGTCTATTCGAAAACTTCCACACAAGTTCAAATCAAGGAAATGTAACTTATATCGCATTTTTGTACCAACTTTTACAACCCCCGAAAAGGCCTATGGTCGATTTAAACTGAAATAGTTGTTGTAAGCTGAAACAGAGAAGGTGTGGAGAAGTTGTAAACTGTAACGTATCTCTCAATTTTATACAAACGATTACAACCCAGGAAAATTTTTTTGTTGTAGTTTCAATTACTTTTCTGAACTCAACAATGGAATTGTGTGTACAAAAAATCATCGCACTTGGTGGGTATTTGATGTAGCGAAGTTGGAATTGATGTTGTGGGTAAAACGTGTAAAAGGAATTGCCGTTTCTTTTTTGGCCTCCTTCAGGAGCAAAGTAGGGATGTAAAGTCAATAATTGTGGGTATAGGTACAGTAGACAGTGGCTTGCTCAAGAAGAAATCAGATATTCCGAGTCAATAAGGTAGAAAAAAAGGGTAGAAATGTGATCAACAAAAAGCTTCACACATGAATAGTAAATTGTGGATTCCCTCTTTTAAGATAGTAGAGATTTACACCTCGAATTCTACAACAATAATAATAAATAAGTGAATTTAGAAGTGCAATGCTTGGGGGTTACATTTAAATTGTAAATTTGTCAAAGTTACTAAATAAATGGTAACGAAATAGGATTTTAGCATGTTGACTTCGTTGGTAGATAGGATCCACTTGCTATTCAACAAAAGTAAATTTCAGGAAACTCTAGGTAAGTAAACTTACCATTTTATTCATGCGTATGTTGCATTGTTAAATGTATGAATATGTTACCTAAATTGGCTATAATGAGAAAATGATAATTGATTATTAAGTTTTGCATTATTAATGCTTCTTATGACATATTCATACATGATAATGCATCCATAAGCATACATGAAGTTTTAAGAAATAAACATTTTGCAAATGTTAATGAGTCAAGGAATATTTTCAAAAGATATATATCTCGAATTTTTTTTTTTTTGTTACGAGGTGTATGTCTATACCATGAAAGGTGTAAGTGGGAAATGGGGTCCAAGGGATTGGCACATCGACCAATGTTCAATGTTTAGGGCATGTTCGGTAGAGATTAAAACCGGATTAAAATTGAAAAACTAGCCGTTATTGTTGACTTTTATTAGACGAGTGGGATCCAATAACGGCTATATTTTCAATTTTAATTGGATTTTAAGCCTAACCAAACATGCTCTTAATGATAATGTTAATATTAACTACTTTACAGTACTATCGGTAGAATGAATCGGGTTCCAACAATTTATGTAGTAACAACACACATAGTTATTAAATTCGGATCGATCATTGACCTAGCCAAAGCATTGCATCATCGGGTCACGATTCAATGGCCAGGTTGTTGCCATTTCGAAAAAGTATAATGAAACACTTCTTTAGAAAAAAAAAATTGTGTAGATATAAGTTTAAAATTTAAAGTGGATTGAAATTTAAGATTTCATTCACTAATTAGAATTTTATAATTCTCTCTTTTCTAAGAAAAAACAAAAACTAAGTAAAATATTTATATAAGGTTTAATACTAGTGGAATATTTATATATTTCTATCTATCGGTTTTTCATTTTTATGTTTCATGAAATTTTTTTGTTAACTTTTCTAAGAGACAAATAAATAATTAAAATAGTAAAAAACTTCCAAATCATCTTCTTGTATTTAGTAGTAGATATATATCTAAAATAATGGGGGTAGCCTAGTGCAATAGTGATTATTGTATTCTTGATTGATCTTGTATGCCTTGTAAATTATTTGAAATGATGAATGCTACCTTAGTTAGTGCTATGGTGTGAAGATATGATTCTGCAGAAAATGTTATTTAATTTATAACATAAAATTAAAATTAAAACCTCCTATGTCAGAAGCCAACCTGATCATGGTTCTTCAGGTGCGAGGTTTGGATTTATGCTAGATGAAGAACTGAAGATAGCCGCTGCAGATGATGAAGTCAGAGCTGCAATTGCAGATAAAATTAGTAGAGAACGTATTGGCCATGAAGTATGCTTGTATATTTTGTTGTGTGGATCTATATGTTCACAAAATTTCCAGTCATTTTTTTTGCCTGTTACTAATATCTTCATGTCGGTTTTTTTTTTTTTTT